AGTATTGAAATATTTTTACGATAACTTTGGTTGTTCACTAATTTTTGTGCTAATCTGCTTGATAGCTTTAGCTTTCAAACATCAGATAAGGCCAAAAGGTTCAGCTTTTCAAAAATAGACGTTAAAAGTTTGTACATCACTGTTGAATGTAGCAGTTAATTTGATAATTGATTAGGCTGGGGTTTTTCTTTTTTCCTTTTAGAAGACAAAAATTCCGCTACATTAACTAAACAAATATTTACTGCTTACATATGAATATTTAATTTAGGAACGCAATTTAGCCTTTATTGTTAGTGTAATACAATAGTTGAATAGCAGTGAAAATATTTCTACAAAGTACAATTCAGAATGAGAAGATTTGTTTACGTAGACGAAAATATAAGTATTTGAGGAGTACTGAAAAACTTTATGAAAAACTTACTATTGCTAAATTAACAAAAGAGCAGTTAAACTGCCAGGAATTGTGCAACTGTTAGTCACGAGCACACAGAAGTTGGTGATTCTGATACACTGAGATTAGTTCAGCTTAGCAGCATTAATCAAAAATCTTCCAGTTTACAGTTTACAAAACAGCAATATATATTCTATAATTCCGTTTACAAATTGATAAAAATACTTTATAAAAAAAACTATACAAAGTTTACGCATTATTCACCAGCACTATAACAAGTACAACTAAATTCTGTTACGTTTTTGTTTCTATATTTTACAGAATTCTTCAATCCAAAAAAGTTTTTTTTCTCACAAAATGAAGGTCAGATTATTAGAATTATAGTCTGCTTAGAAATGACCATAGTTATTGCAGCAGTTCACTGTTGTACACTTGTTTATTTTACCCTAAATTTATCTGATAAGTTTGAATAGTTGCTGATTTGCCAGATAAGAATCAGAAGAAGAAATCAAAAATTATCAGCTGCTGCTTTAGTCTTTCGAGTTTTACACCTAATATGATTGTATTTGACAACTGTTTTGGTTTTATCAACAGAATAAACTAGCATAGATTCTTAAAAAGTACTTTTTGTCTTTGGCTGAAATCAGCTAATTTGCTTTTTCACAGCAACAGAAATACTGATATTTTACCTGCACAAAAGGAACAACCTTTTTTAAAATGCTGTAACAGTCGCGTTAAACAGCTATCTGAGAGTTGTCAGCAAAAATTCAAGTCAATAATAAGTTCAGTGTACAGAAATTTTTGATAATAATTTCAAGAATAATAGCAAACCTTTGAAAGTTTATCCTCTGATCTTTGACTATTTACAATCAAAAATTTCAGTTGGTTATTACTTAAAATTAATTACCATAATAAAATCATATTGTTTTATACAAGCTAAAAGTAAATGTCTGACGTTGTTGTCATAACTGGCTGATGCTTAGCCTAGCAGACGTACCTAAGGTCATCTACAAGATTTGATATGTTTATTACATAAAGAAAAAAACGTAATGTATCATTCGACTTTTATCAGATAATTTGATAAATTTTTTTTTAACTTTTAATAAACCATATAAGGCAAAAACACGCACGCATACGAACAATCAACAATTTGCAGTGGAAAATAGTGAATGTTCTGAGTGGCGACTGTGTCAAACTAATAATCAGATATTAGTTTTATCAGATCCTTTCTCTCTACCCTTCCGATGACTGCTCAAAGTCAGCTTTCATTTCTTTTTGTCCTAAGCTGTTTTACAAAACTTC